CCTATCACAAAATAGAAACTTTCAAAACTGCAGTATAGACAAATACTACAACGGTAACTCTCTGAAAGGCAATATGCCTGTCAACAACAGAAAAAAGTTACAGCCCACCAGTACGGACGTACAAGTCACCTACAATTTATACAGAAACGAACACACAATAGTAGACGACAACGATGCTTGCAAGACAATAACTTTTTTTCAATGACTACCTGAGTAGTAAAACACCTTAGACGAAGCCAAGGAAAGCTAAGACATATTTCCATTATTACAGAAAGCAACAATATTTCTAGCAACAATAGGAAGTCCATAAGAAACCACAGCCCCACCAGTCATATAGCGTAACCTGCATGCAGTTCTGGCATAAGCAACGGCGTCAATCAACAAACGATAAGACTCCCCAAAATCTCCAGTCTCTCGGTCATTTCGAACAATTCTGAAATCCTCTGACTGTAAGAGAACTTTGCAAAAAATAAAAATGCAAGTTCCCACCCGATTACCACTCGGTCCTATCTACTAAACTCCACTGAACCTATAACCTCCGTTGAAATTTACCTTTCGTCAAGAGACGTATTCATTTTAGATGCCGAATTACTGAAACAGTGCTTAACTAGAGCCATGAGAAATCTATCTATTTCGCCATCAGTCACCTAAAAAATATAGATGCATTGTAATCCAGTAAATACAATTGAGAATCTAACAATACACACAAGAACCATGTAACAACCTGGTACCCAAACGATACATTAAAAAATTAAAAGTAGCAACGAACATTTCATTTATCAAGGAATTAAACACACTGAAACTGAATTAGTTATTCATTACCATCCACAAACAGCCAACTAAACAAGGACAACGTGCAATACTGTAATCGTATATCACGCTTTGACCATCAAACCCATCACCTTCATGTAAAATTCGAGCACTAAATAACCTTACTTATCATTTTGAGCAACCAATGCGAACCACTATTTTGAAAACTACCTTGAACAACCCATTAGGAGTGACACAGCTCTACAATCGCTATTTCTTATCACAGATTTGCCAAAATAGCGACCACCACTTCCGTGTCCCATATACCTGAAAATAATGTAATAAAAAAAGCATTTCCCAACAATATTCCAAAACTAAAAAACAGCGTACAAAAAAAAATCATTATTTTGAAGATACTGGCGAAGTTCTTCAGGCTTCGGAGGTTGTCCTACAATGCCCTTCCAGAATACGTACTGCTGCAACATTTTGGACAAGCGATTTTGAGTATCAGTCAGATCACCGCCGGGATCTAACACATAAAAAGTTTTTTGTCCGTCAACACGCTTGGGGATCTATAAAAAGAAAATAATCATTAAGAACATACAACACGTAACCAGTGATTAAAACTCTCAACGGACTTTAGGATATTAACAATTTGTATTTAAACACAATCACCTCGTTTGATTTGGAAAAAATCCTATGAAACAAGTAAAGCGACGGTATGCGGCACACTCGTTGGTGTTCTTCCAAAACAGGAAGCATTTCAAAAGGAAATGAAGCTAGTTCCTGCAAGTCATGTAATTACTTCGTTCTTGAAACTTGTCATGCAGCTAATTTCTAAAGTTTACTGCGTTAAAAACTTCAGAGCAAACAACTGAATACCGGTGCAATGCAAAGTAAGAGGTATTTCCTATCACGACGGTAAACAAGAGGAGTATTTCTTCCAAACCCATCCTTGTAAACATCATCAACAAGGACTTTAGTGTTCATATCAACACCTTCCAAAAACGCCATCCTTTCCGCCAAAGTTATCCATTCTGACGAAGACAACTTACTGACAGCTTCCACCAAAGCCTTGAAGAAACTACTTTTGCTAGCAACTTAAACAAACTAAAAAAGAGAATAAGACAAGACAGTACGAAGAAAGATTAATAAGAATCAAAAAAGCCGTGCATAATATACATATATAATAGATCAAAGGCCCAGAATCACCTCTGCGGAACCCTCAGAAATATCGTTATGAGCAACAACTTTCTCAAAAGCCTTTTGACCTTCATCCGTAAAGGTTCCGTGCGGCGCCACAAGCAGCGCAAAATGACCTAACCATTCGTCCTGGACATCACGTATTATGCTCTTAAAATAGCACATTGAATTAAAGCCTGACAAGGCTGTCTACACGATCGAAATGAATAAAACGTATGACCAAGCCAAATAATTTAACAGTTACGCGACCCACATACCTCCAAACAATTGTTGAGTTCTCTCCGTATCTTCCAAAACTGCTTTGAATCGATTGCAGTCTTTGCTAATTGACCAGATTTATCATTTTCAATTAGCAAATTTTGCATCCTTTTCAGTAGCAAATCATCCTGCAAAGCACCACCTATATTTTTATAAAACATTTTGGCAAAAAGTCAGGGAACCAAGTCTACATCCTGAAGAAAATTAGTTTATTCTTACGCGTGGAAGAAGCTTTACAGGTATCAGTAGAGGTGCCTTTGAACAACAAAATCTTAATAACCAAAGAATTCTCTCCGAGTCCAAAAATAACTGAACAACGGATAGGTCTAGAAAAAACCCAGAATTATCCAATAATAACTGATTCAAAAACTCCCACAACATAACAGCTTTTCGTTAAAAAGCATGCGACATACGACAGACCTGACGGTATTAGTTTAATAGCACACTTAAACTCTTCAACATCCATAAAACGAAATGTTGATTTTTCGCTCGAAATAGCACGTCCAATTTGTCTGGTAGCACAGCAGCATGACTCAGAAATTATAAATGCTGCCTTCCAACTGTCATGTTGAATCCATGCGTAAAAGTGGCTCAAATATGTACAAATAAGGAATCGCCATTCTCTAAAATTTAAAAATTACAAGAAACACCTATGCCAATAATTTTTTCTGGAAAACGACAAAAATTATTCAACCTATCTTTTCAGTAAACGATAAACAAAACAGACCACCTGTAGAACAGGTGTCCATAACTTCTGAAATCTTCTTCTGCACTGTCCACGTCCGACAAGGATATAGCGACTGACTGGCTAGGCGAAAGTTTTCTTCTACCCGGAGATCTTGCAGGAGTCAACATTCCTGTATGAGGCTTAGAAGTCATTCGTGACCGGACTTTGCGAACCGGAGTTTGCAGAGACCTAAAGTACCAAAAAATGAAGGCGATGAATAATGCGCAATCAATATGTAAAGCTTAAGTAAATAACCAGATAAAACATTAGTTTATAAGATTTGGATCTATACAAAATAAGTTGTAGACTGCCAGAAGAAATGATTTTACTTCCTCACGCATAAAACTCACATTTTTTTAAGACTGTTAGCCAACACGGTTACGGTTGATTCATTCAATGACCTGTTCAGCCACGATATTTCACCAGGTATTGGCAACGGAATTCTATTTAGCTGCCTTAGAAGCAAATAATAACAACAATAATGCCATGGACTGACTCTACAGATCTAAAGAGCAAAACCTTAATATTTGCAATGAGAAAAAGTTATTGTCGAAATATTACCTCTAGAGCTTCATCAATGACTGCTCTCCTGTTGTCTGAAGCAGCATTATTACGCAGCCATCTAACAGAAGCAAGCAGAAAGGACTCGCGAACACATGTCCAGCAATGATCCTTAAACTTATAGAATGTCCACAAAGATGTGAATCTTAATCCACTACTTGGAACTACAGACCAGAACAGAATAATTTTAAAAACCGAAAAAGCTTGCAAGAGAAAAGAATCACTTTTTTGAAAACAATCGTCTTCCACTCTTTTAACTTAAACGCTTCCTTCATTATAGCAATCCACGTTTTTCCTGAACGGACAGTTTCATGATATCTAAAAAACTACAGTAAAGAACTTATTTCGCCTTTCAGATCAAGTCCTCCAATTCTCTCTTGCAAAAATAAAAAATCCGTCCAAACTAGTAAACAAATTAATTCTCATAATGTCCATTTTTACTTCTACAAACTTAAGTCCTCCACATTAACCATATCAAAGATGAGGATCAGTTAGCTAAACTTCTGCTGTTTGAAGCAGCTTGAAGGTGTTCAACGAATATTTCAAAACGTTACACTGACACCCCATTAACAGCAAAAATAGTAATATCAATTCAGGGAACATGGTGAAGACGAACAAGCTAAATGACGAATACTCTTCGAATTAAAAAACTTTATAAAACCCTTGTTTCACAGAGAAAAAAATGCCGAAAGTAAGCTACAACAATTCCACATGGAGGAGAAATACCGCTCGGCCCAAAATAACGCTCGTTTACCTTCTTCGATAAGACAAATATGACTCTGTACTCCATCGATTCATAAAAACCCGAAGCGAGTCCAACTCACAGCGAAAATACAAGGATGAACGAGCAAAGAGGCAAACAGTACATAAACAACCGCTCTTATGCGACTCAAAAATATTTTTTTCCGTTGGTGTCTCCACCTTCGAGTTCCTAAAATAACAAGTCTCTTAGTCTACTTCAACGACCTTATTATTAAAACTTTCTCTAACAGAGACAAGGTTTAAAAATGAAACTGGAAAACTATAATCAGAAAAATAAAGTAGACAAACTACAAATGAAATTTGAATATAAACCGTATAAGCCCTACCTGTTCTTTCTCATCAGTTCATCGCAAATACTGCTAGTGGTACTATTCCCACTCTAAACGCTCCACGTTTAAAAAATTATAGAAAAATGATTGAAGAGTTCCAAAGGAACAATGAGCCTTATCAGATTTGAAAAAGGAACCTAAAACTAACACTGGCCAAAGCTCTAACAACACCCGAAAAATCCTCGAATTTGAAATGTGAAGCTGCAGAGGACAGGCTAACGTCTAATAGCAAGGTGAACACCGAAAGTAACCTAAAAGCATATGAAATAAGACCGGAAACATTCTGTAACAACCAGATCAGTATCCAGGAACTTAATTTTCAGAGCAGACCAACTTAAATAACAAAGCCCAAAGTTGTTTTGAGCAAAATTTATACAAAGTAAAGGAAAAAACTTACGTTAGATAATTACTTCAAATCAAGAAAAAAAAATTGTCCAAGCCATATCATCTAGAATTTGCTCAAAAACAAAAGCCTCACATGACAGAAAAAACGAAGAAAAATAGCAGTAACTGTTCATTTACTTAAAACGTTAAAAAGAAGCAACCACAAGTGCAGAAAGTACGTATGAGTCAGTGTTCTCCAGTTAGGACCTACTATCAGAAAGCGAAGGGACAAACACAATTCTTATTTTACCTCGGAAGTGAACCCATCCGAAATTTACGTAACCACAATATTAAGGCTATATTTTCACAGTCCCGAACATTACCAGTTTCCAAATGTTCCCTACAAAGCCAAAGCGCCGATTCGCAATACTCTGCCACATTTGAGCATAGCTTCACTGAAATCATAATACAAATTCGACATAACATTATTAATTACTGCCATATGCATAACATTTACAACGAATGTCATAAAACGGACAGAAACTATCATTGTCAACAGCAACTTTCTGAAGATCGATAGGTTTTTCGTTATCGGAAAACTGTCTGTATCGGTTTCTAAGCAAAGTATGAATTCTAGAGAAAGACATTTCCAAATTTTTCAGGGGATCGCCGATCTAAACACGACAGACAATGAATGAATAGAACAGATTAAAAAAACAAATCAAGCAAAAATGAGTTAAACGATCACAAAAAAAAAAACTCAAATTGGTTTTGGCAAAAATATTTCTAAAATTAGTTTACAGCAAGCTTTCCTTCACCCAACTTATATTTATCGTCTAGAAAGGCCAAACAGCGAAGAAAACCAAACCGTATGCAAAGGGGCGTTAGGCAGGTGACCAGCAATAGCCAAGTAGTGATAGATAATGGCATCGCACTGGTATTGCAAAAATGTCTTCACAGGCTTTTTAACACTTTCATCCTGACAATGCCTCGCATCAGTAGCCACTCTCAATGTCTGAGAAGAACTTTCTTCCTGCCCAAGCAGTAACATGAGCTCATTTACCAACGAATCCTGAATCATAAAAAAGCAAAAACATCTAGTCATTGCAACTAATAATTAATAATTAAACTGCAATTAACTAGCAGTTTTTGGAAATAACTGCAACTAAGGTTTATGAACGTCCCAGTGCAAAATTTTAAAATAATTTGATGTCAATAAACAAATCACTCCCACCTTATTAGTATCAAAGTTAAACTCCACAATGAACCGAAATGCTTTTATTAGGGTATCGTAATGCGGATTTTTTCCCGTTAACAGACTTTCAGTTTTTAACTGAGCTCTGGCAACTCCCCACTCGCCTAAGTGACAGAGCCATTGTAGTAACAAATACCGGCTCGTAAAATCAGCTGTATACAGTTGTACTGCATGTGCGAGACATATAATCGCTTTATCATAC